ATCTTTATGTATGAATGAGAATGTACATTGCTTGTCGAGATTGTACTCGTACCGCATTGTCTATTCAGTCCTTTTCATCACATTGCAGATTCTCGGTTTATTACGTACATTGCATATCCGTGCATGTAACAATTGATCTTCGCGGATTCCCTGCGTCTTCCCATATCGCCTTTTTTTGCCATCTGCTATCCGTTGGGGGGAAGATATCTGGCCTTGGATGTAGGCTCCTTATCAGAGAAGTGCCAGATCCAGTCTGGGTCTTCCATATTATCATCAAAGACCCATTCACCATAGGAGGGGTCCATTATGAACGAAGTGCCACAGGCCTCTTCTACCTCCACCAACATATTTGGATGGAGCTTCCTTTCTTTCTGTTGTTTTGGGAATTTGGGACAATGTGGGCCGGTACCGAGATGGCCTCACTCTCTACATCTGAAGCAGATGGGCGAGTTTTTTTGTAGAGCCTGAGATGAACTTCTTTCTGTCCTGGATTGCAAATTTCCATATCTGGGGGAGTACCGGCGGGTCATCAGTCAGTCATCAGTGTCATGGTGCCGCAGTGGGGGGCCAAAAATTCTGGCGTTGGCAAAATCCATTTGAGCATTTTGTTTGCCGGATACTGTCTCTCCAATCTGTCGACCAGCAGCCCATGAAAACCTGGTTGTATTTGTCAAATTCAACCCAAAACTGTCATATCATCAACGCTTGCTTGTACAACACTATGTAGGCTGCATTTGGGTGTTGATTCATTCCATGCTGTTACTGCGCAGGTCGAGCCATTGCAGTTTCTTGATTCCACTTCTGCTGCTATCTGTGCATGTTTTTTGTGATAAAACAATACCATGACCCAGTTGCGCCTTAAACTCTACAAGGAGAAGCTCCATTGATTGTTTGCAATCACTCGTTTCCTCTTTTCTGCTGGCATGACGTCCGCTCCATTCCATGCAGTTCGTTGAGTTCTGAAACTTTTCCTTCTGGGAATTCCCATACGACAATTTCTTTATCCCTGCCATGAGGATTGGTGAATGTCTCGTTTGCTTGTATACCTTCTACCTTCGTTTTTCAATGAGACGCTTTAGTGCTTCGTTGTCAATCACAGTGGATCCGAGTGTCTTTTCAACGGGGGTGGTTCCAGTTTAACGGCCACTGAAACCCGTGAAATCCCCCAATCCCTGATTGAATTCCTGTTAAATGCAATAACGGGGGGCTCCTGACGTTTTCGCTTCAACATGAGGGGTGCGCGGGGGTTCGGACACAAGGTGCACCGCCCCCGATCGCTTAAATTGAAAAGGGAAAAAAAACTTCCAACGTCCCT